CCTCCTCCTCCTCCTCCTCCTCCTCCTCCTCCTCCTCCTCCTACTCCTCCAGGGGGGCAGACGGGGGGGGAGGGGCGTGCCTTCTCGGGGGGCTCGGAAAAGACCCCCGGCCTCCCGAGAAGCTCCCCCCATTATCAGGGGCAACGATCGGGCATAGGGTTAGGTCGGGCCAGTCCCTCTACAGAAGAAGTATTCGAAAGTAGTCGAAAAATTGTACGGGGAGGACGTTTCGACTGATCTTGACCATTTGGGGAGCATTTGTTGACTATGGTTAATTTTTTGTCCAAAATCCCCCTGCAGGAGGACGCGCCCGACCTAAGCATAGGGGGGGTGCATCGGCCCCCGATCGCCCAGTGATCGCCGAGAGGGGCCCAACAGCCCCAACCTGCCCAGGAACGTGCGGATTCACTGTCCGAGGCTCATCGCCGATGTATCGCCGATGTATCGCCGATTCCAGGCCGATGTGTCCCCCCCTATGCCAGCCCCCACTCTATCGTTGCCCCTCACCCCGGCCTTCCCCGAAGCCGCATGGGGGGCTCCCCAGAAGGTCGGAGGGGGCTCCCGAGAAGCCCCGCCGCCCCCCGAGAAGGCCTGCCCCCTCTCGCGCATCCCATCGGCGCGCCGCTGAGGCGCGCGCGCGCGCCCCTGCTTCCAGGGGGGAAAAAAAGCCACCTCGACCCCGACAGCTGGCATTTACCGAACGGCCCTGGGCCTTTACGAAGCAGCCCTGCCCTGCTCGATTCCTTCATTTTGGGCGCGTTGGCTGAGCGGTCTCGCTTTTTATCGGGGCGATTCTTCTGGGAGTGGCCGTTCTGATCCGTTCTGCTCTTCGCTGCTGCTATCCATGGCCACTGCGTCTTGGACTTTCCGAGGCGGCGCGCCAGAAGGCCGAGGCGCCAAGGGGGTGGACAGACATCTGGCCTCCAGCGGCCAGACGTTAGTCCATGCCCACAGCGCCCTTTGCATCTGGGGACGGGAGTCCCGAGTTCCAGGGCGCAGTGGGTGCGGAGCCACGGCCTTCTGCAGTGGGACGCGCGCCGAAGGAAGAGCGGGAGGCCACGATGTCAGACAGATCCTCGTGGCCCGGGCCACGATGTCCGCACACCTCTGCAGTCGAGCTCGCTGATGAGGGAGGGGGAAGGATGGATAAGGAGGAGGAGGAGGAGGAAGAAGAGGAGGGAGAGTTCGCTCGCTGTTCACATCGGCTCGCCAGGGAGCAGTCGCCCGCCTGCAGGGGGCCCCCCCGCAAGGAGCTCAGCGACAGCCTGCAGGAGCTGCGAAACGTGCAGGACCTGGAGGACGGCGGCCCAGCCTCCGCGCCCAAGTATCGCGCTCGGGGCGCGCTCGCCTCCCGGGGGGCCTCTCACCCGTCGACGCCACCGGGGAGGAGGCACCGGCGGCGGCGGCGGGAGGTGGGAGGGCAGGCGGGGGAGGGGGAGGAGGAGGAGGAGGAGGAGGAGGAGGAGGAGGAGGAGGAGGAGGAGGAGGGAGGGAGGAGGAGGAGGAGGAGGGAGGAGGAGGAAGAAGAAGAAGAGAAGAATAAGAAGAAGAAATACGAATAATAAGAAGCATAATAAGAAGAAGAAGAAAAGAAGAAGCAGAAGCAGAAGAAGAAGAAGAAGAAGAGGAGGAGGAGGAGGAGGAGGAGGAGGAGGAGGAGGGGGAGGAGGGGGAGGAGGGGGGCGAGGGGGTGGGAAGGCGGAGGGGAGGTGGGAGGGAGGAGGGAGGGGGTGGGTGGAAGAAGGAGGTGGGGTGGGGAGGGGGGGGAAGGAAGGGGTGGAGTCGCGTTTTGGCGGCCTCTTGGAGGTTCGACGGGGGCTTTTCGGGGCCTTCTGGGGGCGTAGGGCCTCTGCGGGGAATATTGGGGGACCGCCGTGGGATGTAGGGTTCGAAGGCGCCGTCGGATTCTCCCTCTTGGGGCCCTCTTGGAGCTTGTTGGACCCGGAAGAGGTTTTCGGGCCGTATTGGAGCGATCTTGGAGGCCCCGGGAGAGTTCCCAGACGGGCCCCGCACTCGCACCACAATTTCCACGGATTATGTTTTTGTTGCCCTCCGGTTGTTCGCTCTTTGAAACCAAGCGAGTGGTATGGGGTGAAGTATTATTTCTGTCGTCGTTCCAGCAGTGTGGTGTGATTCGATTCAAGCGATATCCTTCGTTTCTCAACCGGGGTGATTATGTGTGTGGTGGAGGGTGGAGGAGTGGTTTGTCGAATTATGAGAGACTGAAGTATTGTTGTGCGGAATGTGATTTGTAGTTATTCCTGGTTTTTGGGTTCAACGTGTAGAGACCCCGCATCCTGATACCGACAGTAAACTTTTCCCGCGCACGAGCAAGATACCTCCAATGCCTTCAAGACCCCTCACATAGCCCGATACCAGTCCATCTCATATCTTAGTGCGATCGAGGCTAGTTGAACGCTGGGAAGACCAACCTCACCATCGCGACACAAGGCCAGGGCATCGGGACACTCAGGAACGAGCTGATCAAGAATGTTTGCACAATCGCGCAGTCTGGCATCAAGGCTCCTACGAATGCCATGGAGTGAATTTGAGGCGGTATAATATTGAGTAGTTGTCAGTTTGGAACTGGCTCTTACTTCACGTAGGTGGACTCGGGCAATGCGCCTGTAGCCAACGAAACAATGGCGACCAGCAGTGCGTCTTGGAGTGTGGCGCTGGAATCTCCCTCACAACGCATCTGGACACGGCAATTGTGCGTTGGAAGGGCCAGCGCGGCACCACCTTTACAAACGTGGGCCATTCCGAGTTTTTGCACGCGCGCCGCTTGAAGGAGCAGGTCAAGACGCACAAGGTGTTCATCGGCGTCCCCATCGACAGAATCTATTCCTCGTCCGTGACGGATGCGTGCATGATCGATGCGCATCGGATCTTCCACATCAAGATCACGGCTAGCAAGACAGGATCCGTTTTGACGAACAGCCTCATCACAACGCCCAGCACCACGGCCTTCACGGGGTCCATGACAGCAAGCGACGACGTCCTTGTCATAGGTTCTCGTCGGAACCGCCTTATATTTCGCATGTCATTTTTGGGAAAAGGCGTGGGCGATCAGCGACAACAGACACGACGATCAGCACATATGAGAGCCCGGCGTCATCAGATCTTTCACTGTGCAGGAGGAAGCCTTGGGGCGCTCCACTACGTGCTGAAGGCACGGTGGCGGACGTTGTGCGGCCACAGCTGGGCGACAGACCGTCACAGGCGGTCGATGACAAACCCGTGAGAAATCTTGATGCACCTCACAGTGGTCACGCAATGTCGTGAACCAAGCGACATCGAGGATCCGATCCAGTGGAGCGGAAGCGGGTGCGACTTTGCCGTGCACCGGTTCTTCCAGGAGCACTTGCATCAGATCGACGGGCTCCACGTCTGGAGCGATGAGGGGTCGTTCAACCGGACTCGGAAGCACAGGGGTCGTGATCAGGTTGGTCCCGTTGGCCACCGCCGCAGAGTACCACGAGCAGGTCGCTCTTTCCATGCCAGCCGAGGTCACGGTCTTGAGCGGATGGGTGTTGGTTTCAATTTTCTGATCGTTCTCGCAGCCGTCCTGTTCTTACCGATCGCGCGCCGAGCATACATTTTCTGGCAGCACGAGCCGCGACGGCCCGAGGTCTCTCGGCAGTAAGGCGAGGCGGCTTGTGGAGCACAGCTGGGTGGCACTTACATCCACGTTACCCGCGGGGGCGTTCAAGCAATCGCGCTTCGCGCGTCGCGGTCTGGGCCAGAGCGGTGAGCCTTCTCCAAGAGGGCGGCGCTAGGGAGCCAAGCTCATCGCACATCGCTGGGCGCGATGTGCGAAGTTAGGCGACCCAGTTGAACGCGATCAAATGAGACTGAACGGTGCCGTTTGAACGATCCGGTCAAGACGCATCACATTTGATGTTGACCGTTTTCTCATTCAGATGTGCGTGAACCGGTTCCTCCTCTGAGGATCCTTCGTGCGGCTCTTTTCCTTCTTTTGTGATTCATATTGGTATCGTGTGCCGAGTGAGCTGTCCAGCAGGGAAGCCGAAGACGTTCAGTGGAATACCCTAGAATGGCGGGATCCGTTGATGCGGCCACATTCCCTTCTCATCCTGCTCCTCCCTGCTCATCCTGTGTCTTTGGGTGTTGGGACCGTGCCACAAGAGACTCCTCAATCTGACGGACATGGGTAGCCCTGAGTCTGCAGAGGAAGAGGTGGATGAGGGTCGCGCCAGGATCCTTCCATCATGTCGCCGCCCCCGACGGCCACAAGCCTGCCTCCCGGGATCATCGACGACCTGGCAAACCGGAAGGAGCGTTTTCTCTCGGAAGGGTCCGTGTTCCGGCTTTGGTCGAGGACGGCGGACGAGGAAGAAGGAGGGGGAATGGTGGAAGAAGGGAAGAAGACGGAAGAAGGAGGAACGAAGGAGGAACGAAGGAGGAACGAAGGAGGAACGAAGGAGTGTGAGGAAGAAGGAGGAAGAACGAGGAAGGAAGGAGGAAGGATGAGGAAAATAGAGGGGAAGAGGAACGACGAAGTGTGAGTGTGGCAGTGGGGGAAGGGGGAGGAAGGTGGAGGGAGGAGGGTTGAGGGCAGAGGGAATGATGGAACACAGCATGCAGAGAGGCAGGGAGGAGGGAGGAGGGAGGAGGGAAGGAAAGCAGGGAGGGAGGAGCCGAGGAGGGAGCAGGGAGCAGGGAGGAGGGAGGAGGAGGACGACGACGGGAGGCGGGGAGCCAGCCTGCCAAGCTGGAGGCTGCTCCCGAGCCAGCTCGCATCAGGCCTGCGGCCGAGAGGCGTCTTGCACAGGGCGGCGTGCACTGGGGCCAGGGCCGCCTGCCGCGCCCACCTTCTGTGGGTGTCAGGCATCTCCTCCTCCTCCTCCTCCTCCTCCTCGTCCTCCTCCTCCTCCTCCTTCCCCTCCTCCTCCTCCTCCTCCTCCTCCTCCTCCTCCTCCTCCTCCTCCTCCTTCTTCCCCTTCCCCTCCTCCTTCTTCCCCTCCCCCTCCTCCTCCTCCTCCTCCTCCTCCTCCTCGTCCTCCTCCTCCTCCTCCTATTCCTCCTCCTCCTCCTCCTCCTCCTCCTCCCCAGGCAGTGTACAGTGGAGGCCCGTGCCGAGAAACACCCTGCTTTTGCTTCCAGGGCGCTCTGGGTTCTTGGGCTTCGATGGTCTTTTCCCGAGTAGCTAGTAGAGAGCCAAGGGGGCCTCAGATTAAGAAGCCGGCGCCGCAGGGTAGCCCCAGAGGTCGTTCTGGCTTCCGTGAAAGATCCCTGGAGAAGGCTGTCCGAGCCAGAAGCGTGTCCCGAGAGATGCTTCCTAAGCTTTTCCCAGCACGCGTGCCCGGAAGCTCCCCAGAAGGTCCTTTGGAAGCTCTCTCCAGGTCCTTCCAGAGTACTTCGACGGGCCTTTCCACGCCCCCTCGGGCGGTCTGCTACCCGGGTTTTGGGGCCTCGCAGCTTGCGATGGAGAGCGTGGCCTTCCCACACCGAGTGATCAGTGGACGTCCTGGGGCCTCAGGGTTGGGTTTCTTGTGGGCGGTCTCTTGTGGACTGGCCTCCGCTGTGCGCTCGGGAACTTGGCGCGTCGCTCGGCCGGTCTGGGCCCACGACGCTGCGGCGCGGCACGCTATCCACTTTCGAGTCCGCAGGCGTCCGCGTCCAGAGCCCTTCCCGAGCCTCCCGCCCCGCGGAGCGGAGCGACACGGGATCCGCTCACAGGTCGAGTCGGAGGTCGACTGCAGAATTGACGCACCCCGAAGTTCAGAGCGTCGTCGAGCCTGCGAAGCACGCGTGCGTGGGCTGTGCGCGGATCCACGGCATTCTGCGGACCCGTTTTCTGCAGATTCGGTGGGGCAGCACTGCTGTTGGGGCAGGTCAGTTCTGCAGCCGATCCCCCGCTCGAGCAGGGGGCAGCGTTAGGGGGCCACATGCGAACCCTACCCCATACCTTCCACGATTTCTCCTCGGCCTCCTTCTCCTCCTCCTCCTCCTCCTCCTCCTCCTCCTCCTCCTCCTCCTCCTCCTCCCCCTTCTCCTCCTCCTCCTCCTCCTCCTCCTCCTCCTCCTCCTCCTCCTCCTCCCTCCGTGGACCCTTTTAGGGGGCCACAAGCGAACCTTACCCCATACCTCCCACGATTTCTGAGGGGGAGGGCGGGGTTCACTTCGCTCGGGAGCTCCCGAACGAAGGGAACCCCACCCTCCCCCTCAGAAATCGTAGGGGGTAGGGGTAGGGTTCGCATCTGGCTCCCCAGCAGCCGATCCACCTGCTCGAGCAGGGGGCAGCGCGTCGCCGGGGCCGCCGCCGCGGCCCGCCGTGCAGAGGTTCCCGGCCGCGCGGGCGTGCCAGAGAGGGCTCCGCCCTCGGCACGCCTGAGGGCCGGCAGGCGGGCGGAGAGGGAGGCCGAAGCGAGAGTTGGGCTGGGCCTCCCTGACTCCGGATCCGCCCTACGGTAGGTTCGCGTCGTGTCGACCAGCGGCGACCCCAGCGCGGGCGTTCAAGGTTGAACGCCGCCGGCGACCCAGAATCGATCGATGTTGAACGATCGGACGTTGCGGCAGCGGCCGATCGTTCAAGGTTGAACGATCACCGCTGTGTCACAAACCATTGCCAGGGTCGTCACGACACGAACCTGCCCTACTCTGGCTTTTTTTCCAGCTTAAAATTGCGTCGGAAATCCACAAGAGGCCGAAAAAGTAGGGCGGGGATTTCTGCACCCAGCATACAATAGGGCGAACATCCACATGAGTAGGGCGGAAATGACGAAAGAAAAGTAGGGCGGAAATTGGCATCAGCGGGGCTTGAAAAGTAAGGCGGAAATTCCAAGCCCTACTTACGAATTTCCCCAAAGTAGGGCGGATCCGGAGTCAGGGCGAAGCGAGAGTCAGGCTGGGCCTGTCCCTCTGCGGGGGGGAAGATTCAGAAATACCCCCACAAAAAATAGCCGGGGGACGATTATTTGGCCTTTCTGTGGCCATGTTGGAGTTTGTTTTGAGCATTCGTTAGTTTTCGTCGAAGGCCCGCCTGTAGGGGAGCATGCCCGACTTGACCGAGGTGAGAGATGAGGCGGCTCCGCCGGCGGGGGGTTGGCGGGAAGGGGCGGAAGTGAAGGCGAGGCTCGAGGAAGAAAAGACCACACAGACGTGAATGTTTGGCGCTTCGCGCGGAGTTCTTGGATCGGCGCTGGGCCCTCCTGGCGGCGCCTCCGGCGCCGCCCCTGGCGCGCTCCGCGCGCCAGGGAGGGTGATCCAGCGCAGATCCAAGAAATCCGCGCGGAGCGCCAACAGTTTATGTTTGTGGCGTTTTTTTTTCTAGAGACGCCACTTTTTCTGGCAAACGTAAGACTCGAGTACGCCGGGACTCGGGTTTGCCGGCGCGTTTTGGCCAGCGCGTCCCAGATTTTGACGGTCCAGTTTTCGTGGGATGTTTGCGGGAGCTCGCGTCAACTTTCAGATTGGGTCTCATCATTTTCATGATGGCCCCGTCAGGCCAACCCGAGTCCCCCGAACCCGAGTCTTACGTATCCCAGACCTTTCTGGATCTGGCTTCTGGAGTCTGCCAGGTGCTTTTCTCCCCTTTCTCTTCCCCATCCCCACATTCTCCCTCCTCATCCTCGTCCTCCATCTCCCTGTCCTGGGCCTTGCCAAGGCTTCGAGGCCTCCAGTACAGAGGCCTAGAAATGCAGACCTCCATCACGGTATGAAGATTGTTGTTCAACCAGTGTGAAAGTTTGTGGAGGCTCGGGAGACTTCTAGAGGCCCAGAAGGGATGTAGGGAGGATGGTAATGTGCATGGGGGGACAAGGATTAAGAGGATTGTGGAAAGATGGGGCAACATCCACGCACGGGGATTTCACATTCAGGAGACTCATGGTGCACAAGTGCACGGCCGTGTCGCCAAGTGCAATCACCGCGAAACAGAGGAACGCCAGCGCGACGCCTGGGCAACGGCGATCCGCCATCCGAGCAATGCCACGTCAGCAGCACAGCTCAAGTCACAGACTGCGGACCTGGAGGGGAAACCTGTCCCCCTACAGGCGAATTTTGGAGGGAAAATAATCCAACAAAATTCAAAATCGTCAAAAATCAAATCAAACATCGTCCCTAGACTATTTTTAACTATTTTTGAATATTCCTCCTGTAGAGGGACAGGCCCGACTTAACACAAGCAGCTGCAGGCAGACCCCGCACCCTCACTGCAGCACGCCGCGCGCAAACCCTCAGACGACGACGCCCTCCTCTCACGCCGCCCCAGGCCACCCGCCTTTTGGTACGGCTGGACCGAGGCCTGAGATCGAGGTCAGTTCGGAGAGGGCACCCTAATGTTCTTCGTGCTCGCTGGATGTTCTTGTGCATCCAGGGGAGGGTACCCTTGGCCATTCTGTGTGTCTGGGCCCGCGGTGGGTCTCGTGTTCTTGAAGGATGTTCTTCTGCCCTAGGTCCGATTGTAGGTCGGGGGCCATGGCCCACATCTCGACTGCCTTGCGGGGAACGCGGCACGACTACTGTACGCACAGGGACCACCATCCTGGGTCAAGGGAGGAAAAAACCACCCGTACCTGACAATTGGCGTTCACAAAGCGGCCTTGGGCGATTGCTAAGCAGCCCTGCCCATCTCGATTCCTTCCCAGGGTGCGTTCACTGGACGGCTTCGCTTGTCGGAGT